AAATGATGACTCAAAAGACAATCTGTCGTCTTTATCTCCATCTCCCGAATTATCAAAAAACAATATAAAAAAACAACAAACTCCTCCTCTAGAAACCACATCCAATTTAATTTTTTCACCCATTCCTCATGTTCCACAAAGTCTATCTAGTCTTTCAAATAATGCCAGTGTATTATCATTTCATCAATACCATCAAAATCACCAACAACAATATCCTCACCAATTGCACATTCATCAACAATTTGATCAACCTTCTATTATGGAAACATCTGCTTCTCAATATAACTTTGCTCCTTCAATAAACAATGAAAATTTAAACATTATTAATCTAGCATCAATAAACAGTTCTAATTCTATTTATGATCCAACACAATTACTACAAAATTTTGGATGTGGTTCCACGAGATTTAACATTAACAATACAAACACAGGAAATGATGCTGATTCAATAAGATTTCACAGTTCACGTATTCCTAATAATTCAAGACCTTTCTATAACTCAAATGGGAACTTAACTAGTGCCTCGGCTTCCATAAACCAGAATGGTACAATAGCTGAATTCCAAATACCAAGGATGAACAAATTAATTCCTTCGGAAGGTCCTGTACATGGTGGAATTGAAGTAACTGTTTTAGGAAGTAATTTTTATGGTCTGTCTCACAGATTTATGTGTGTATCTATCTATGAATGTATATATATATATATTTAATATATTTAATATATTATATCTATTAGATGGTTTGACCTGCGTTTTTTGGTAATTCGGGAGATGGAGATAAAGACGACAGATTGTCTTTTGAGTCATCATTTGGAATAACGTTTAATAGTGAAGAATCTGGTTGAGTTTCAATCGGCGAAATGCTCATCATTAAATTATTATGACTGTTGTTGCTATTCCCATAAATACTGCTAGAAGAAGATGAGGTTGTGGTAGGAGAAGGAAGAGGAGGGGAAGGTGTGTGACGTTGTCTATCATTTAATTTTTTTTTAGATGAATTATTTGAATCAACAATATTACAACGACCATGCTTAGTTCTTAAACGTTTTTTTGCTATTCCATTCTTTGTTTTAGATGATTTATGATCATCAGTTATCATGATTGGAGGTGACATTCCTGTTGCAATAACATCATTTGTATGATCTTTTATTCTAAAACAAATGCTATTTTATTTTATTATAATAATGACATTGTTAATATTATAATTTTAAAAAAATAAAAATAAAAAAATATAATAATAAATTTTTTATTACCGGAATCCAACTTTTTCATTATGATGTCTACAATAACAAGTTATTCTTGTTGGTAAAATAATATCGCCACTGTTGAAGTCAACAATTTCATTACAATTAAATAAAAGAATTTTATTTTGTTCCAATTGCATCATTTTTTCATCATCTAAATCCATAGATTTACTATTGTCATTTGTTGATGGTTGTGGTTGTTGCATGAGATTTGAATTAGTGGCATTGCTATTATTATTATTATTTTTCTTATTTTCTTTTTTACGTTGTGAACGCTTTCTCTATTAAACAAGTTGATTGATTAATTAGTATAATCTAATTAATAATCTAATAAATATATACATAATAATGGTTTACCTCACGTTGAACACAACCAAGACAAGTAAGAACTTTTTTTGTTGTATCACTTGCACAGACAACAGACGCTTCTAGATTTAATATATGATCTTGCTATTATCATTTTCATTACTTTGAGAATTTTTTGATAAAGAGTTAGAAAAGGATACATTTTTATCTTCATCGTG